TTGCCAAAGGCTCCATAACTTGGAATTTATACATTTAGAAAATAACGATAGTAATATTATTTTTGGCTATATTCTTAGAGTTAAAGCTTATATTCCCCTATTTCTATGTTATCACATAAATGTTTAAGATTTTCCAGTTTTTCCCTTAATATTTTATATAACAATGCCCTGGATTCATAATATGATTTCTATCTTATAATATTTAGAATTATCAAATATTTTCCCAATTTTTTAGTTCTATTTCAGCCATATTTGTGGATATATTTTGTTTATTTCATAAAGATTGACACTTTTTAAATGAGCGGGATATAATATTAAAGCCTTTATTTTCTGAATATTTCTCCACTTCAACTTTGGCCACAAATTAAATTTGTGGCAGCCGCATCGGGAATGTTATGGTAAAAAATCATAACTTTCGGCTCTATTAATTAGAATGTCATTTATATCCACAAGTTGAAAGTTTCATCCATTTCATAAATTTTATCCTCCAACATTCTACAAAATAAAGAAGTTATATTTAATTTTAAACTGATATTAAATCTTCACAATTTATATTTTACCATTAGCATTAATGGTATTTTATTTTTTAAAACTTCTATGAATATCAATTATAATCTTGGCCAACATATCAAAATGGTGCACTTTAAGCATGTTTTTAAGCTAAGGATGTAAACTTTTGTTGATGATTTTGCACCCAAGAATGACTTTTATAAAAATAATTAATTAATCACTTATAGGAATCTTGAATAGAGAGGCACCAACCTTCTAAATTCACACTAACAATCAGCTATAATACGAATATAAGACTCATCAGGAAGTCTATCTAGAATGTCATCTATTTTTAATTCCATGACAAATTTACTGAAATAACGTGATTTTCGGACGATCATTTTTAAAATAGATGAAACTTGGCATGACGGCTAAATAGATTTATATTTTTTACAAATCAAAATTTTAATGCTCTAGCTCAAATATATCCCGAGTTATGGACCTTCAAAGTTCGTGAGCGCCTTTCCCACTTTTAACGAATTAATTTAGTCAAAAAAATTTTGGTTTTAAGAACAAATTATATATTATTTTGTAGCCATATAAAATTTATTTAAAAAATATATTCAGTTGTTGTATTTCGGCTAAAACAAAAGAAAATATTTTGAAAAATGCCACATATAAAAGAATAAATCTCATGAAATTGTATATTAACCAATATGTTTAAATATTTAAGTAAAGATATTAATGGAGAAAATAAGAATTTAATTTTATTAAGTTTTTTAAATTTTAGGAATAAATAAATTAATTATAAAGGGCGTTTGAAACGATGAAACTAATCATATGTTTATTACAAATATATTTAATTAATTAAGTAAAAATTTAATTTTTATAATTTTAGGAATAAATAAATCATTTATAGATAGCGCTATTTTTAAAAATAATTATAATGCATTTTACATTATAAATAATCATTAATATTTCTATAATATTATTATATGCACTAGAAATTTTTAAAAAACACATTTTTTTATGCCCAATAAAAAGAAAATATATTATAATTATCCTTCAACGACATTTTCTAATCCAACATGTCCTTGCGGGTTTGAGAAATCTTACTTAATCGTGGCCTACCTCTAGTTCGTTGGCCCGTAACTTCAAGATCGAAAACTTTCCGATTCACCATTTGAATCAGTACTTACCACCACTTAGCCATGCCATCTCAGTCTGCTCTCTTTTACCTTTTCTGACTAGGAAACTACGCCTATATTATTTCTTAGGCTATCATTTTATAACCTAGACTCTTTCGGATCATCCGCACATCCAACATCTCGGCAGCTCTCAATACCTAAGTTTCACACCCATACAACAAGACCGTCTGACGATAGTTCGATAGGCCTTACCTTTAAGCCACAGTGGCATCTCCCTGTCACAAAGCACTCCTGATTGGCCTTTTCATTTTATCCAACCCTTTTGCTTCCGTCTTTATGCATTTCCCATAATAGCTAAAATTTTCAACTTTCGGGTATGTAGCAAGTTGTATAATTTTGTTGCCAGTTACACTGTCTTAGAATAGCTGACGCGGAGGCTATTCTCCAACTTAATTGCCCAAACACCGGCCCGCTTAGCTGCCATTATTTCGGTTTCCTTGCATATTACTATGTCATCTAGATACAACATTGACCATGGTGCTGAGCTCTGCAAGTCCTCGGTTATAGTATCCGGGATGAGTACGAAGAGAAAGGGGCTTAACGCTGGCCCTTGATGTAGCCCGATATCTATGGGAGGTAAGCGGAAAATAATTCCCCGGAAAAAAATCCTTGGAAAATAATTATCCGGAAAAATATTCCCCAGGGAAATAAATTCCCCATTTTTTAGATTTTAAATTAAATATTGGGGAAAATTAATCCCCGGAAAAAAAGAAAAAAATTCCCCGAATAATTTTTTTAAAATTATCAAAAAATAATCCCGCCGCTAAAATAACGAAAATATTTCTAAAAAATTATATTAGTTATTTCTGAGTTGAGAGTATTTCCAAAAGGGCAATCTTTAAATGAGAATTGATAAATCGGTTGGTAGCTTTTATAATTTAGTAGATAGCATAAAAAGAATAGATTTGTGACGATAGATTTTTATAGAAATATATGAAAATTATGAAAGAGGTTTTACAATTTAAAATTGAAAAGAAAAATGTGAAAGCAAATTTTTCCCTAGAAAGAGAAAGGTTATTTCCATAATCCACTTTTTATCTAGACTTGAATACCATGAAGAGAGGGGGGGGGTATTTCTAACACGCCACTAAGGTTAAAATATATATAACATTAAAATGAATATTATGACACTATTCTGTTCCGTTCGTTTGAATCCCGGACAAAAATAACATAATGGAAATTTTTTATGTTTAATACTATTGATTTTAAAAATTGTATCTGATTATAAATTTTCAAAAAAAGTATTGATCCTAATCACTGATTACAAAAGCTTATTTAATTCAAAGACTATCTCAAGTAATTGAACGTTACCAAAAAATATGGTGAATTCCATATCAAATCAACCAAGGTTTCAACCCAACCCCCTTCAATTTTTCTTAAATTTTGTATACTGGTAGTATATACTATAACTAAGAAAAAAATGAAATTTTACCTTCCAACACTGTTTACCCGGTAAGATATGGCCGTTTAAAGCGCGGAAAAATGGTACATTTTTGACAAAATGCACCTCGTTTATTTTCAAATATCTCGAGTAATAATTATGTTAGAAAAATAATTTAAATTTATTTTGTAGCTTAATAAAAGTTCTTTAAAATGACATAAGAATAAATATGATGGACATTTTATTAATATCGAAAACCGGATGTGTAAAACCGAAAATGGCCATAGAAAAAAAAGGTATTTTTTCAATTTTTTTTCTGTAGATAGGTATCACACTGTTTTATATTTGTACAAAATCCTAGACTGGGATGAACATGGGTTTAGGAGTTATCACTTTTTATATGGCTAAAATTTAACATTAATATCATCATATTTTAACATAATAAATAATTATGAAATAATGTTAATTTAAAAATTAGGTCTAAATGATATGCCCTGACTTTTTTTTATCTTTATCAAAATTTTTGAGATGTGGCTGGAATAATCAGCTTTGTTTAACACTTTAGTTAAATTTTATCTAGAAGTTACTTGACAAAATAATTCTAAACATATTTATAACTTTATTTGCCTTAAATTGCATTACATATAATACAATCAAAAATTTATAAAATATACCATATATTATAATCATCCAAGGAGTTTTAATAAATTATGACTTTTGTTTTCGTCTAGGGGAATTGGAACTTGTGTTCAAGAAATTCTTTTTGCTCTCAAAAATCTGCTTTCAAGATGACTTTCTATGTTCATATATTCATTATTGCTCACAAATATATAATTTACCCCTTTGATATTATTTCTTACATAGTTAAATAAATCTATTGTTGTCAATATGTGATGTTCATATGGACGTTGCAAGCTTGCTCGAGCTGCTAACCGTTTAGTAACGGCCCCCAAAATGTCGCATGGACATTTATGTGCGGTTTCAAAGAATGTCACTCAGCCTTTATCCCAAAATCATTTTCATGATTAATGAAATCTTTTATTTTATATTGGTTACTGCTCCATCAGAAAAATAATAAATTTTAGCCACTCTATTAAATCTTTCCTTCAAATTTTTTTTCCGGGAATATTTTTTCCTATATTGTTAATTTTATAAAAATAATTTTATATTTTATAGGGTTTATAAAATGGGAAATTTTTTCCGGGGAATTATTTTCTATGGAAATTTTTTTCCGGAGAATTATTTTCCTGGGGATTTTTTTTCCGGGGATTTTTTTCCGGTGAATTATTTTCCTAGATTCATGGGAAACAGCCTTGAGTCTCCGACCGCCCTTCTAACCATTGAAGCGACCTCTACACACATCTAATGAGTTGCACATAACCCCTGGGATTCCTCTTTTGCCCATCCATCATCATATCAAATTTCTGGGTATACTTTCATATGCCTTTTCCAGGTCAATGCAATTTATTATATATAATCTTACTTTTAAAGAATGGGTGGATAAACTGATGACTGGTACTGGAATATCAAAAATTTATTATTATCATTTTTTTATAGTGTTTATACTAAATATAAGTCCTTAATTTTCTGTACCTTAAATTCGAACTCTTTTTTACGAGGGTTATAGATTGCAAATTCAATTTTGTAAAATAAATCTAAAAATTTCTAAATATAATAATATAAACGAATTAATCCAAATATCCCTAGTTCTACTATCCCTTTGGTTACTAATATCGTTAATAATATATAATGATACTTTTCAATTACCAAATAACTGCATTATATAAAATTCTCTTCGTTAAATTTTTCATATTTAGTTTTATTAACCATTAAATTTTTAATTGTTTAACAAAAATATATCCCAAGCATTTACAATTTATCGATCAACGCAGAAAAATTTTATTGTATAATTTAATATTTAGGTAAATGACGTTTTCCAATTTATACTCCAACTATCTGGCTGCAAAGAATACGCCGAAACATTCAAAACCAACGAAATTGACGGCCCATCATTGTTTCTTCTCAAAGAGGAGCATTTCACTTCATCACTCAAAATGAAACTAGGACCGGCACTAAAGATTCAAGCAAAAGTGGCTGAATTGATAAGAAAATATTCGAGTCCGTGATTGATTTATATTTATTTTTTGTGATAACAATTACATCAATAAAATGACGTCTTTAATACCGTCAAATGCATATCCCTCTAATTTATGTTTATATCTATCAATCTAAATGTAAATAAAGATTAAATGTTGCATTTATATATTATATAATAATTTTAGTTTATTATAACTTATATGTTCACTGGTATTCTTTACTTTAGTAAATTTATATTATAATATATTTATCTTTTGTGTGTAATTTAAAATTCATTATACAATTCAATAAAGAATATTTAAATCTAAAATAAATGTAGTTAGATAAGGTTAATACAAAAAATCAATTATCCAATTAGCCTCTTCTTTTTTCCACATAAAAAAAGTCCTGATAGTCAAATTTAAGATGACATCCATAAGTGAATGCATGCACGGTCATAAATACGTTTTAATTTGTTTGTCAATTTATTTCCGGATAAATTATCTTCCATGATTCGTGATTTTTTTACTTTCTATCCGAGAATTTTTTTATTTTAAACGACTAACTTTCAATAACCGATATGATTTTTTGCAAAACAATTCAAAATTATTTGCACTAGCGTCGTTATGGGCTTTAAAATTTTGGAGAGCCAGGCTCTTGAAATTTTTTAAGATATAAAATTTCTTTCTTAATCTTAGATAGAATTACGTTTTTTTGATAATTTTTCTATTGAATAGGACGACATGGACAAATACCTTGAACAATAAAAGTAAAAATAATGTGGAATCTCCCCCAATTAATAAGTCTTACATAATTATCCCATAATCAATGCTTTTAGTTTATCCTATTTTAAAATTTAGTGTTGTCATTTTTCCTTTAATTTTTACCAGCTTTTTTTAAAAATCTAAACATTATTTACTTGCACCAATGATGTATATATGTTAGCGTCAATGTGTTATTTTTACAAATTTAAATCATTTTTTGAGCGCGTTTTTTAATTTAAAAATTGGATTTTTTCGGAAATATATTCTAGCATGTTTGAATACCTATCTTATGAATTGTAGACAATTTTGCTGTTAATCTTTGGGTCATTTATAATTTATATAAAAAATATATGGAAAATTTAATATAAATTATATTAAATTTAAAGTTCATGGAAAAATTGTCTGAAATTCATAGGGTAGGTATTTCAAACATGATGGAATACATTTCCAGTAAAATCAGATTTTTAAAAACCAGCTCATGATTTAAAGTTGATTAAATAACACATTGCCGGAAAAAACACAATGACACTAACATATATACTACTAGATTGACCCTTCATTCATTAAATGCATTTGTAAGGGTCCACATATGAGCCATCTGTAGCGCATTTTGTGGTTTCCACGTTTATTTAATGACTTCATTTGCATTCATATTGTGAAAAATAAAGACAATTAGTGTAAGTGCAAACCACACAATAGTCCTACAGCTGACTCCTTTGTATTGTCACTTAATGAATAAATCGCCAATCTAATAGTATATCATTGATTTACTAATACATTTCAAAAGGTGATAGCAATCGGCAAAGGGTTACAGAAATTCTAACTTGGATTATAGCAAATTTTATTATTAATGCATGTATTTTAAGAACATGCTTGAATGGCGCAATTTTAAAACACTTAGGAAATAAATAGCAAAAATTTGTCGGGATATTTCTACTGATGATAAATTCAGTATCTATATCAGCTAGGGGCGTCACTAGCTGGGTGTTGAAGCATCCCCTTTTTTAAAAGTAGTACTCATTTAAATAATTATATGCATTTTTTATTTAATTAGGTTCTGAAATTTTATGGTTATTTTATAAATATATTATTTTCTATCTAGAATAAATCATTTTAATTTCCTTCAAAGAAAAAAATGTTCAAAAATAGAAATAAATATGCAAAAAAAATTAAGGTATTTTGCTAGAGAATAATAATTTTATTCCCCCTTACCTTCACTTTTAAATTTGGTTAGTAATTTTATTTATGTTTTTATATGCAATATGATGTGTTGTAATATTTATATTTATACACTGCAATATCTAATTTGTAAATATCTATATTTTCTCAATATAAATATGCAATTTATATTTTAAACCCTGCAATGTCTATATATAAAATAAATATATATTTCTCTCAATATCAATATAGATATTCATTGATTGAAATTACGATTATTAATATAAGAAAATTTTATCAAACAAAAAAAATTCTATTTAATTTTTCTCTATTGATTAGAAGATTTTTAGAGTGTTTAAAATGTTCAGATCGACCAATTTGTGGTATATAATGATTTCTGACTTCTTGTGTACAGAAAAAAAAGAAACTGCATGGCCTCTACGACAAGATAGAGCCTTCGACACATTTTTTAGATCTAGAAGAGTCTACTTTGTATGCCCTTGAAGAAATATCAGAAACACATGAAACAGATATTTTATCTGAAGCTAATAAATGATTAGATTTAATATGACTGCCGATTTTTTATCAAAATGTATTAATAAATTATTTATTACACAACAATTTTATGCAATATTTTTCTAAAAAATGGATTTGGCTAAAGTTATAAGAATCGTAAATAATATATATTACAAATTAAAAAACCGAGATCATAGCGATGGAATTTCTCTTATGTGATTGTTGAGTGGAAAGCGAAATTATATGATCTTGAGATTTATAAGCCCGATTTCACCGACAAACAAATCGTTCCAATGTTAACGTGTACTCAATTGAGGATTAGCACAAAATACCCGTTTTTATTCCACTTTTGGATTTAATTTTGACTCAAACAATGACGATTTGTGATTTATCGACTCTATCCAATTTACAAATACTATATCTTATAACTCCCTCTGATCTGAGGAATCAATGATGTTGAAAAATTAACTATAACTAAATTTTATTCATTGGATATAAATGTATCTGAAAGAAAGACTCATTTTTATAGATTCCTTCAAGAAGTATAGTGGAAGCATTACATACTTTAAAATATAATAATAAGTTTTCAATATATACTAAAATTACTAAATATTTTGACAATGATACCAATAATACAAGCAGAGTGGACCTTTTCTTCATTACAGAGAATAAAAACCAACATCAAAAGTAAGACATCCTAAAATTGATTGAATAGACTCTCTTTCATCGTCGATATCTATTCACAGTACAGAACAAATTTTTTAAAAATTGGCACATTCGCAAAAGTAAACATTTATGAATGATATTTTGATTAGCTTTTTAAATCATTATAAAATGTTTAATTATATATTTTATGATGCTTTACACCTTATTAAATTCTCTCTAAATATTTTGAATTTTCCAATATTTTATTTTTTGTTTTAGAAATTTTTATATTCTCAAATATGATTGGTTCTAATAAATTTTATATCATTAGTTCTAATATTTTATATGATGATTAGTTCTAATGAATTTTTAGTTATTGCCACTTTCGGGGGGTATATTATTCTTTTGTTATTTTTTGTTTAAGATATTTTAAAATAGTTTTTCTACAAAATTTTTGGCAGAAATTTTGCATTTTAAATTTTTTTTGGTGATAATACTATAATTAGAGGAAGATCCCAGAAATAAAAAAATATTTAGAGGAAAATTACTATATACATACAAAGTTTTTAAAGGGGATAGAGTAAGGTAAATTTTTGGTAGATGAAACTTTGCATTTTAAAATTTTTTTTGGTTATAATACTATAAGAAAGATCCCATAAATAAATAAAATTTAAACAACTTTAGGAAAATTAGCATAACTTTTTTCTGGAAATAAATAATAATCTAAAATAATGTATGAGGGGTAAAATAGATTCCACCTTTGAAGTTTAAGTGGTTTTTTTAACCAAGAGTTAAATCGAAATATAGTATTAAATGACGCGATTAAATATAGTATTAAAATTTATACACGAAATATAGTATTAAATGATGCAATTTTATTCATTAAATTGAAATATATTGAAATTTATACAATCATTAATAAAATGAATAAAAATATCAAAACGATTTAATAATCGATATTTTCGAAAATATCTATATTCAAGAAGATATTCATGAATATTATCCCGATCTTTATAGTTTGCTTTTAGATTCCGCCACAGCCTTTCTATTTTTGGGTGTGGATCGATCTGTCATTTGGATCAACAAGTGGAAATATTTTATTTGTTCTAACCGATTATTATCTAAGATAAATAGATTTAATTTAATATCACTAAATATAAAATTAAATTTGTAGGGAAAATTCTCCTACCCCCCTCCCTCCCCCATATATAAACGCTGCGGAAAATAGAAAATTTTGTATAAAAAGCTCTTTAAAAATTTGTAGGAAAAACTTTTTTAAAATATCTAAAATAAAAAATTAATATATTAATTTTAAAAAAAAATAAAATAAAAATAATATACCCCCTAAAGTGGAAATAACCAAATTTTTAATGCTCCAAAAAATCATTTCAATATAAAATAAATTATCCACCCCTGTGGAAAATTTCTTAACTAAGCGTTTTGTCATTCTATGGTGCACATCATCGCTGAAATTTTAATTCGACATGTTTATAATATATATTTTACCCATTTGCTCCAAAAAAATTTAAAGAGAAGTTGAAAAAATAATGAGAATATGATAATTACCACTTTTCTATGGTACATCTTCACTGAAATTTAAATCTAAATGTCCATTTTACCCATTTATTTTAAAATAATTAAAAAATGAATATGACAATTGCCACTTTTCTATGATTCATCTTCACTGAAATCTTAATTTAATATTTTTACAATTTATATTGTTACCCAATTACCTAAAAAAAAATAAAAGTTTAAAAATAACGAATATAAAAATTGCCACTTTTCAATGTTTCTGATTCATCTTCTAAAATTTAATTACCCATTGAAAATAAAAAAAAATATATTCAATTTATATACTTAATTCGAAATATAACTTCATAATTGAGCTGGGTCGAATTTTAAGTCGGGTCAAAATAAGCCAACCTAACTTTTGCATTGGATTTAAAAACGAGCCATATTTTGGGTCGGGTTTATAAAAACGACTACAACTTTGGATCGAAGTTAAAAACGATCAGACTAAAGGCGGAATTGAAAAAACCACCCATATTTTGGGTCGCGGTCAAAAAACGACCCGGATTTGGGATCAGGGTTGC